TGTGGTGTGGGGTGTGTGTGTGTGTGTGTGTGTGTGTGTGTGTGTGTGTGTGTGTGTGTGTGTGTGTGTGTTGGGATGGTATGCCACAGTATGTGTAGATTCCCTCAGTGGTGTGTGTGTGTGTGTGTGTGTGTGTGTGTGTGTGTGTGTGTGTGTGTTGGGATGCTATGCCACACTATGTGTAGATTTCCTCAGAGGCCAGAAGAGAGCTTCAAATCCTCTGGAGACTCTATGTGGATGTTGTGATGGGAACTCTGGTCCTCTGGAAGAATAGCCAGCGCTCATAACTACTGAGCCATCACTCCAGTGCCAAGAACAAATATTTTTTTTTTGTCTTTGATTTACTACTGTATAGTTCTAGCTAAACGAATGGAATTCTTTTGCTTGCTGAAATCTCATCTGACTTCAAAACACCGTGTCTTTACTTGACATATCTGTTTAGCTGTTAAAGTGCTCTACACCCTTTTTCCCCCTTTTAAAACTAGAGCCTTGAATAACCCTGTGTTCTGGGTTCACCTATGAATAAAATAGAGCTTTTGCATGACTACAATGCATTCTTGTTTGTTTTGTAGGATTTATAATTTTTCTTAAATTGGTTTTGGACTGCATGAACACAGTCTATCAAAAATATTTTCATGTTGCCCAAGACAAACTTTATGTACTCACATGCTTTGGGTAAGTTTACATAGCAACTGGGAGAAGTCCAGTTTTTCTGTTCAAAGCCCCATCTTCTCAGGTCATTGTCTGCCTTACTACTAAACTAAGGGGTAGTTTATAAAATGTGCAATTTTTAGGAAAACAGTAACCAGGAATATATCATAGAAACTTAAAAGACTATCTAGATATACTGTGATCATTCATAGCAACCCATAAAAGTGCTTCCTCTGTACTTAAAAATCAGCTATGATAGCTCCTTTGCTATGACCAATCACACAGGTGATCCTTTCCGTGAGGACATCAATTCATTCACAGCTTCTGTGTTTTATTAGGCAAGTTTCAATAGTTTCTGGAGTGAAGTACTCTTGCTTTACCCTGAAAATCATTATGATCTTCTAAATAGCAACTGGCCCATTGTGGGGTATTCTTCTGTACATGTGTAGTGAAGGTAATGTTTCCTAGTGCTGATTCTTGCACCAGTTTACTGTAATTATTGCCTTGGCCTCAGTGTATAGGAATTGTCGTCCTTTTGAAAAGAAAATGTGTGTGTGTGTAGAGGCCCAAAGAGGACATCAGATCCCCTGGACTGGGATCATAGGTGGTTGTGAGTGGGTGCTGGGAACTGAACTTGCATGGTCTTTAAGTGCAGCAAGCACTTACCACTGAGCCATCTCTCCAGCTCCAGAGTATTTCCCTTTACGTTATACATTCTGTAAAGGTATATGTGATGTAGCATTATATACCTTTAAGAGCCTACTGACCAACTGAGCTCTCAATATATACTCAAAAAATGCTAAAGGATGGCAGCTGACAACATAAAATGACTAATATTTATTGCTGCTCATTCTGTCTGTACTTGGCATTTGGCATGAATTCCACCTAATCTTAAACAAATATAGATGGTGAACTCTCAAGTATAGCTGAAGAAATTGATACTTGGAGAAATGACAGCCTCATGATCACTCTCACTGTAAATGAGTATCAGCCTGTTTGGTAGAATTTCCCCATAAACAAAGATTTATTTTTCTAAGGGAACAAGAAGTGAAAAATTTAAGCAGTTGCTGGTGTTAATCAGGGGTTACGAGGACATTTGAAATTCCTTACTTTTCCTCATGGTCACAAGATGGCTACTATAGTCACTTTTGGCAGTTTCAGTACAGGATCAGTTGGCTCTTGTGGCTTTTGGGTACATCGTGATAAGAAGACACGGCATAGGAAGCTGTTCTCTGGAACCGTGATTTATAGAGAAGATATATAACTAAGAGTATAATGTGGAAGATGGCATGGTTGGTCAGAGACGAGAAAGTGCATTGAGTTGATTAGTCTGCACAGTGTTTTGGAAAACTGAAGTGAACTTGGAAAATCCAGTTGGCTTTAGAAGCCTGTCTCTGATGTTTCAGGTGGTGGGAGAGTAGATTGGTGAAGTTGGGTTTCCTAGGGGAAGAGAAGAGTTTGCACAGATGTGGGGTGTGTGTGTGGTGTGTGAAAGCACATTAAGAAGAATTCTTTCTCCTAATTTCTACCAACCTTGTAGATTATTAGAGAAGGTGAGTCTAGTGAACAGAGAATAGCAATGAGAACAAGGAAATTTGATGGAAATGGCAAAGTAAGAAATTTATGAAAAAAATGGAAGAGCCCTTGAATATTTCCAACACTCCAAGGTACTGGCAGTAAATTCTGGCGTATGCTGAAGAGATCCTTTTAGACATCCTTTGAATTTACCACAGATAGGCAAATGTTTAGAAAATAAAGATCTCATGATTTAAATGGGGTTGATTTTTCTTCTTCTTTCAACAATTTGGTAAAATGGGTCCAAATTTCTGTTGATTCCATCTGAAATAGAATCCTTAGAATTTCACCTGCTCTGTACTCATACTTTGTTTTACCATGGAGGATATTTTATACTCAAAATATATACAAAAATGCTTTAGATTGTCTCCTGATGGATTTGGACTAATGGGAAATTTACAGACACAATACCTTTTTAGGAGCTCTTACCAATGAATCAGGTATGTATCTAGGTCCAGTCAGACAAAATGCTACAATAGAGAAATCATTACCACACTTGGGATCTGTGCTGTGGACATCCTGGCTCAGATAATAAGGTCTTACTCCTAGATCCATGTTTAACTCCAGAGATGCCCAGTGAGAATTTGCATATGTCCTTTTCCTTCTTGGGAAATGAAATAAAAATCTCACCAGTGCTAAAATTGATTGGGGAAAGCATGGGATTTTTACATTTAATGCATATATGACAATTCTTAGAGAATCATTTATATATTGTATACTTGTTAAATATGTATGCTTCTCACTTCCCAAATCTATTCATGTAAAGCTCACACAATCTGTCTGTCTTATTCTGATAGCCTTCTAGCTGTCTATAGTCTATAAACATTTTCCAGTCCTGGGTCCTTGATTTCTCACTGGCATCTGATATATATCTACTAGTCTATGAATGCTTGATTTAGGATTTTTTGTTTTGTTTTGTTTTTCGAGACGGGGTTTCTCTATAGTTTTGGAGGCTGTCCTGAAACTCGATCTGTAGAACAGGCTGTCCCTGAACTCACAGAGATCCGCCTGCCTCTGCCTCCTGAGTGCTGGGATTAAAGATGTGTGCCACCACTGCCCAGCTTTGATACAGGATATTCTTAAAGTAGACATTTTCTTCCTTTTAAAAAATATTTATTTTAATTTTATGAGCATTGATTGGTGTTTTGCCTGTGTGAGGATGTCAGATCCCCTGGAACTGGAGTTATAGACAGTGGTAAGCTGCCATGTGGATGCTGGAAATTGAACCCAGGTCCTCTGGAAAAGCAGCCAATGTTGTTAATCACTAAGCCATCTCTCCAGCCCTGAAGTAGGTATTTTCCACTCATGGCCTTCCTGCTTGTTTCTTTTCTTGAAGTTTTTTCTCTTTAACAGCCCTGTGACAACTTTATCACTAGTTCACCATTGAGCAGGCAATTGAGAACCTGCATAACTGATACTTGAGATGACAAGCAGTGTCTTCCACCTTTCACAGGATTTTGTAATATGCAGTTAAGTTTTATGAAAACATTCATGTATGTGGAAAGTTTTTTTTTAAACAGTATTATTTGCTATATGCATCTACTTGGAAATTTTCCTATTTCCTTAAACAATAAAAACACAGGACTCACAATTTTGCTGCACTTTAGTTTACTTATGATCTAATGATACAATAAAAATTTGTCTGAAAGGCTATTGTAGTTTGATGCATTTTGGTGAAAAAAAAACTTATGTCCTTTCTTTATACGAAACAAATGATACCTGACTGAAGATTTCATGGGAATATACTCCCCCTTTTTGTTGGACATTAAGCTTTACTTTCAAATCTGACTTTACTTTTTAATTTTCTTTTGCTTTTCAATAAATACTTTGACGTGAATTGCACACATGGTTTAATCTTTAAACTCTTCAAATTTTGATACATATGTCACTCAACATAAAAATATTAAAATTAAATTATATAGGGACTTAGTTAATTCACCCCCCCACATGCATGCATATACTGTGGTCCAGGACTTGAAGACAGAGGATGACATTCAAATTTTTTCTCTTCCATTATCTGAGTCCTGGGACTTGAACTCAGGTCAAGTTTGGAAGCAAGTACATTGACTCAAGGAGCCATATTGCCAGCAATTAATTTTTATAATTATATTTTTCAGAGGTTAAAATGAAATAAAATTTTAATATCTTTATTTGAGTCTGATTTTCTTAAATTCTGAGAAAAGGAGAGTTGGAGGCAATAGAAAGAGACTGTAACATATTTATGTTTTTGATGTGTTTCTCTGAGTCCAAATACGTATCAGGTTGCTTATCCAAAAGCTTATATA